TTATCCTAACCAAGAAATATCTCCAAACCCAGAAACACAACCATTACATTACGCATCCATTAATTTAGAAATACTGTTGCAAATAGCACAAACGCAAGCGCATCAACAGCCTCATTCTGCTATGGAAACAGAGCTACTGTATTTATCATCAATACACAAAAAATCAATACGGTCATTCTTACGCAAACCATTCTAGAATGGCCTGTCCAATGCACACGATGATCATGACATTCTGTTTCGAGGCAGCAATTCAGATATCTCTCCAACATGGGAAGAAAAAAAGAAAAAAAAACTCAACAGCCCAAGCTCCGTATTTCCTCCTCCTTCGTTATTTTTCCATTCTACTTATCTTTACTTCCTAGCCCCTTTCTATAGATAGGCTACCACGCCTTTACTAATATTCTAATATCTAATGGAAGGCCCTTCTTTCGTGAAGTCGACGTTTCGCGCTTCTTACTTTAGAAAGATTGCAGGGGCGCTAACGGCGACCGGAACCGCTGGCTCCGCCCTACCCATTTATTCGTCTCTTTTTTCAAATGGATATCTAGGGCTCTCTCGTGTTCGTAGATTAGCCCAAAGTTTCATAACACACACGCATATTATGAATTTTAAAGCAAGTTAACAAACAAATCAAAATAGTATATCCATGAATGAAAGTTAACAAAATTATAAATATAATAGAATCATGTTGAAAATTAATTTATAAATTTTAATAGAGCTTTTATGAATAATTTGTTATTAGTATTATTATTTTTAAATTAAATACATAACAATTGAAAAAAAATATTAAATTTTAAATAAATATTTATAATAATATTTAAGAATTATGTTAAAAGCAACGATGGAGCCAAAAAAATTTAAATGAAAAGGCAAATTATAAATACTTGGTATTATATATTATATAAATACATGTTATATATATAGAAATTAATTTAAAATGCATGTATTAACTTATGTCAAATAAAATTAATTTAAGAATATTTTTAAAATAAAAAAACTTATATTATAATTTATTTTTTTGAGTTGTCATATTTTAAAATTGCTTACTAATGATATTAAATATATTCTTTCTCAATATATACAATAAAACTTTCATCTATCTATTTCTAAATCTTCTAGAAACTAGTGAAATTATTGACAATAATTTTTTGTTAATTTATTGTTTTATACAAGTGAGTTAAATATAAATATTAATTTATTTTATTATATCTCTAATTTTTTTATTATTCAGTGTTTCATTTTTAATTATTAGTACATTAATTACCATCATTTTTCATATGAAAGTTATAACAAAATACATATTAATTTATCAAAACTCATTTCAATTCATATTCATATGCATATATTATTATACATACACATATTAATTTAGCAAATCCATAAATTATTATATTATTAAGGAATAAAACTAAAACAAAACAATAAAATAAAAAAAATGAAAGAAACTTACCTAAAACATTAAGTATAAAGTATAAAAGGTTACTTAATTAATTAATAATTTAGAATTTAAAAAAAAATTGTAGAAGAAAAGGGAGGTATAAACAATAATTCAAAAAAAAAGCTTGTTAAATTATTATATTAAAATTTTAATATAAAAAAATAAAAAGAATTAAGGAGGCAATTGCCCTCCGCCACTGGTTAAAAGTGAAGAATAAATGAATCTGATAAAAATTATTTAGAATATATATATATATAAACAGAAACATTAATACCATCATAACCTTTACACCAATTTATAAAGGCCCATTAATATTTGAAATGAGGATCTATATGAACCATTCGCTCCAAAGCACAGCATCCTGCCATTAATTAGTGATCTATTAACAATGAGAGTATAAATCTTGATTCATTTTTGGAGATTCCTTCTCGTCAAAAGTTTGAATCAAAGAAAACTATTCGTAGTTACTAGTTAGTGTACATATTCAGAAGCAGTTTGCTTTTGCTATTAAAACTGAGTTTTTTTAGTTTAAAATTATTTTTTTATATTGTTAAATCGTTTTGATATTATAATATTAAAAATAATTTTTTAAAAAATAAAATATATATATATATAATATTTTTATCTATTTTCAAGCAAAAATCACTTTAAAAATAAACACTATCAAACACTAAAATAATTGAGTATTGTTACCTTTCATTCATTCATGTGAACTTTTCTTTCAATTATCCTTTTCTTCTTCTTTTTTTTTTTTTTTTTGATTAACGTGGAGTGTCCGGGCCAGCTTGCGCGCACCACGACTAATCCCCACGGCCTACTGAACACCCTGCAAACCCAGCAGGCAGGTAAGGCAGCGCGAGGCTGACATGCATGCAACTCCAAGGCTCGAACCCATGGCAGCGGAAGGCGCAAGACGCCTACCACCGCTAGGCCAATGCCTTGGGTGCTCAATTATCCTTTTCTACCACTCCCACTTGATGGATCCTCAAATTCAGTGGCCATGCATCCTAGATTTTATTCTAAAATTCTTCCTCTAAGAGGACCGACAAAAGAGACTTGAAAAGATGATTTATTAAGCAATGAGAGCAGAAATCTTGATTCATTAATGGAGATTCCTTCTCCTGAAAAGTTTCATGATAAAATTGACACTATAAATATTTTTAGATACAAACTTATACTATAATAATAATAATAATAATATACAAACTTCTATATGATGCACATCTTATCCGACGACATCGGGTCTCACAGGAGAAAATTCAAGGAAGCCCCACCAGTTCTTTTTCTACATCAATGAATTGTAACCCATCGAACATTCCTTGTTATAAACCAATTATTATGCACTTTTACTTGGATATGACTTCTTACACTGACCATGTAGGATCCGATAGCCTATCTTACTCTTTGTTCTTTATAAACTAATTGTTGTTATCCATCAAGAAATTCGGTGTGGCTAGTTACACGGATCATGAAGTCGGATCCGGTTTGCCTATCTTATTCAAGCTTTTCTACATAACGCGTTTTCACGCCGCATGTGAAAATTGACTAGACGACTTTGCAGGACCCATCACTCACATAGCTCAAAAGTTTTCCTAGTAAGCAAGGCTATGGGGTGGGGTCCCATATAATTTTTCTTTTGGGCTTTTCATGCGGTTCCAAAGACAAAATGATCACAACTCCATGAACACTGTAAGAAAATTGAAAAAAAAAAAAATTGTTTCATAAAATATATAAAAAATCAAGGTTTCAATTTCCATTGGAGACTCTTCATTAAATTTTATACTGAGGCTTTGGCAGATATGACATCAAAAGAGTTGATAACATCAAGTCTTTCATAGTACTTCATCATCTTGTGAGCTTGAGTTAGTAACACTAAGTTAATTTTTTAGTATTGCGATAAACTGTATTTTTAAAAAGATTTGAAATTTTTTATTTTTAAATTATTTTTTTAATTTTTTTAATGCATTGATGTGAAAAATAAATTTTAAAAAATAAAAATATATATTATTTTAATAAATAAAAAAACACTTTAAAAAATAATATCTATATTTAACATGTTCCAATTAATTTAGAAAGCAATTATTTTCCATACACATGCTACACTGTGAATGGAATAAAAAAGCTAAATGTAATAAAAAAAAATTAGCTATTAAAAATTATTTAGTATTATTATTACAGGAAGCCGTTAGGTCAAATTTAAAATTTTATAACCTAACTTGTTATTAAGTTTAAGTTTAAAATTAAATCATATACAAGTTGATCTAACATGGTTTAGTCAATTTGGTTAGTTTAAAGATAACCCAATCAACTAATAAAAACATTTAAGGATGAAACTAACAAGAAAAAAGAAATTCTTTCGACCCAACTTTTTACATAACACTTCTTATAACCTAACTTGTTGTTAAATTTAAGTTTAAAATTAAATCATATAAAAACTGATCTAACATGGTTTAGTCAATTTGATTAGTTCAAAGATAACCCAATCAACTAATAAAAAAATTTAAGGATGAAACTGACAAGAAAAAAAAAACTCTTTCGACCCAACTTTTTACATAACACTAGTTTAAAATCAAACAATTTAGAAGTTATCATAATATGACCTAGTTAACTTAGACAACTCAGAAATAACTTGGATAATTATTAAAAAAATCTGATGAAAAAATTAAAAAAAATGATGAATTAACAAAAATAAACCCTTTTAATTCATCTAATTACTTAACTCGAGTTTAAAATTAAATTATGTAAGAATTATCTTAATATAATAAAGTTGACTTGGTTAGCCTAAAGGCAACTCAGCAGACTAGTAAAAACATATAAAGATAAAATTAATAGAAAAAAAATCTTAATTTAACGTTTTGTCTCATTAGATTTATAATTAAATTATGTGAGTTGCTTTAATATAATGTAGTTTATTTGGATGATTTAAAGATAAGTTGAATTATTGTTAGAAAAAATATGATGATGATATTGAAAAAAATGTAATTGAATTGATAATTTTTTTCACTGTATGAACAGTACATTAAGTTTGCCAAATTTTCTGGATGTTTAAAAATTAACGCAATGGCTTGAACGAGCACGCGAAAGTCTGAAATACTGGGTACTTTTTTTTAATTATTATGAGTAAGATTTATTTGTATTTATTATTTATATCATTATTTTATAAAATAATTACATCCAAAAAATAGAAATAATTCTACATCATAAATTAATTAAAAGATTTTATCATTTATTGTCATATTTAGCATAAACAGTAATATTTAAAATAAACACGATTTTATTTATAATGCAATGAAAACATGATGTTTTATTAAAAAAAATTAATCTAAAAGTTACAAAACTTGTTATTATAGTTATAACCCAACATTAAAATTACATGTTTGATGAATTAATTTAAATTAATTTAAAATATAAATTTTTTATTTAAGTTTTTTAAAATTAAATTAAGTTTTATTCTGATTTTAATTGACTTATAAATTAATCTATTTAATTAATTAATTTTCATCCAATTAGATATAAAACTCACGCGTCGGCTAGGCTTATCACAGCTTATCGTGGAGAATGCAGCTGGGCTTTGATTTTATCAAAGTTGAATGAGCCTGGCCTGAGGTCCGGAAAACATTCTTATGAAATTAATCTCAAAATCCAACACATGAACGACGTCCACCTTGTTTCATGTTTCAAGAATGTGGAGATTTCAGTAGTCTTCTTTATGCAAGATGTTAAGTAAAACAGCAACAAAGATCTTAAGCAGAACAGAACTCCCCTGTTTCCAAGAAACATGTTCTCATCTTATTTCCTTCTGCAACTCCAAGTCTTTAAGGCAAGGTGTTTGCATTCACAGTCCAATAATCAAGCTGGGTTTTCAAGACCACTTGTATCTAAACAACAATCTGCTATCTCTCTATTCAAAATGCTTTACTTTGGACTATGCACGCCAGTTCTTCGATGAAATGCCATATAGAGATGTTGTGTCTTGGACTGGGATTCTTTCTGCTTATGTTAAGCATGAAAAACATGAAGAGGCACTTGGAATGTTTCAGGAAATGATGGGTTCTGGTCCTTGTCCGAATGAATTCACTTTTTCAAGTGTTTTAAGGGCTTATTCTGCTTTAGGAGAATTCAGTTATGGAAAATGTATTCATGGATGTGTCATTAAACATGGGTTTGAGTCAAACCAGATTTTGGGGTCCGTTTTGATTGATTTGTATTCCAAGTACGGTTCTATTGAGGAAGCATGTAGGTTATTTATTTGTGTGGATAATGGTGATGTTGTTTCGTGGACAACGATGATTTCTTCTCTTGTTCAAGCAGGCAAATGGAGTCAGGCATTGAGGATTTATATTGATTTGATTAAGGCTGGTGTTTATCCAAATGAATTCACTTTTGTTAAGGTTTTAGCTGCAGCGGGGTTTCTTGGTTTGAAACATGGAAAAGTGGTTCATGCCCATTTGATAGTTTTCGGGGTTGAGTTGAACTTGGTAGTGAAGACTGCCCTTGTCCATATGTATTTCAAGTGCCAGAGGATGGACGATGCTGTAAGGATTTCAAAGCTGACACCAGAGTCTGATAGGTTTTTGTGGACTGCTATTCTCTCTGGGTTGGCTCAAAACTTGAAGTTAAGGGAAGCTGTAGTTGCATTTCAGGAGATGGAGGCCTCTGGAATTTTATCGAACAATTTTACATACCTGAGTATTTTGAATGCTTGCTCGTTAATTCTGTCTCTTGATTTAGGGAGACAGATCCATGCAAGGGTGATCATGGCTGGTTTGGAGGATGATGTTCCTGTTGGAAATGCACTTGTTGACATGTACATGAAATGCTCTCATGAGGTAAAAGATGGCTTGAGAGTGTTCAAAGGCATGGAGTCGCGTGATGTAATCTCTTGGACATCTTTGATTGCTGGCCTTTCTGAACATGGTTTTCATCAAGATTGTTCTGACTCGTATATGGAGATGACAGCTTCTGGGCTGCAACCAAATTCTGTTACGCTATCAATCATCCTCAGATCCTGTAGGGCAGCAAAATCTGCAAGTCAATTATTGAAGCTGCATGGACATGTAATCAAGACGAATGCTGATCATGATATTGTTGTCAGTAATGCTCTTGTAGATGCTTATGCTGGAAATGAAAGGGTAGATGATGCATGGCATTTGATTAGAAATATGAGCCAAAGAGATGCCCGCACATACACAGGTTTGGCCACAAGGCTCAATCAGATGGGCCATCATGAAATGGCATTGCATGTAATCAATCACATGTTCAACGATGACATTAAGATGGATGGATATAGCATGGCCGGCTTCTTATCCGCGTCAGCTGGCTTGAATAGCGTGGAAACTGGAACGCAACTTCATAGTTATTCTGTGAAATCTGGTTTAGGCAGCTTCATTTCAGTCTCCAATGGCCTAGTTAGCTTTTATGGGAAATGTGGACTTACACATGATGCAGAGCGAGCATTTGCAGAAATAAGTGAGCCAGACATCGTATCATGGAATGGATTGATATCCGTGTTGGCAGCCTATGGGCATATCTCTTCTGCTCTCTCTGCTTTTGATGATATGAGGTTAACCGGAATCAAGCCTGATTCAGTTACCTTCTTGTTAGTGCTTTTCACTTGCACTCATGGTGGTTTGGCTGACATGGGTCTCGAGTATTTTAATTCAATGAAAGAAATGCATGGCATAGAGCCTCAGTTGGATCACTATGTTTGCTTATTTGATCTCCTTGGCCGAGCCGGGCGGCTAGAGGAGGCAATGGAAATACTAGAAACCATGCCTATTAAGCCAAATGCTTCAATCTACAAGACTCTACTGGCAGCGTGCAAAGTTCATAGGATTGTGCCTCTTGGGGAAGATATAGCCAGGCGAGGTCTCAAGCTTGATCCATCGGATCCTGCATTCAATCTGATACTTGCAAACTTGTATGATAGTTCTGGACGGCCTGATTTAGCTGCAATGATTCGCAGGTCGGCGAGGGATAAAGGTTCATCTCTTCAACAAAGGAGTTGTAGTTCACATCCTATGTGTGAAAATCTTGGATCACTAACTACATAGTATAAAGATCAGGGGTATCAATCTGACGATAATGAAGAACATTTTTACCAGGATGAGAATATTGATAACCGGACTCAGTCTCCTAAATATGCCATTAAAAGCTTCTCTGTATACAACTTGAACTTGTAGAGACCATGGTGTTTCCTATTTGTGATTGTACGCATGGCCTGCTGCAATTAAGAAGAGCACACAGTATTGCACTGATCCTTGTGAATTTTCTGGACTTGTCCAAAGTGGTAATCCTAAACCGTATTCTTTATTTAATAGCAAATCAATTTTCTTCGTTCATGGGACTGAACATTCTTAGAATTTCCATTTTACAGCAACATTTGCAACTAATAATAATTGCAGTATTAGCAGTATCATGACACATTCGCATATTTATTATTTCCCCTTATTTACGCATTAAAGAAATCACCATGCCATCGGTGATCATAGAATAGATAGCTGGTGAACAACATGCTTGCTCCATCATCAGTCAGCTCTGAAATTGCTTTGTCATCCAAACATGCGCTAGTTAGCTTATATTACAAGTGTTAACGAGGTCACCATCACCAATACTCTGATCAGTCAAATACTGGATGTGTTATTTTTCACAGGAAGCAAAAGTGACTTGTAAAAAACAACAAATTTCTTGTAACACCCATTCGGATTATTGCCGGAATGGTTCAAGCCAGAGTCTCATAAATTGAATCCCATTTGAATCTGGAAAATAGGGATTACAAGATAACAAACACAAACATGACTAACAACAATGAAAAGATTCAACACTAAAGCTCAGTGTTTTCTGAAATAACTGTCAGCAGCATTTTACTCCTTCAACTGCGACTCACCAGATGTGACAGCAGGTGCATCCTTTGGTTCCACACGCTTTGTCTGCACAGCCTCGAGTGTCTGGTAAAACTCTGCAGGGAGAGGACCGGGTATATGCCTTGGGACATGCTTTGGAATGGGAGCATCATTCTCTATAATTTCGCATTCATAGTCATCAGGAACACCCCAAGGATCCCACTCTGTGTTCAACAGAACAAAATTTTCTTAGTAGTCGAAGTGATATAAAATACATTATAATGCTCTCCAGTATGCAATGCAGGCTTTGCGGAAATTATTAACCAGACATGATTGATGATCTCACATGCAGCTGCTTGGCAGTTTCTTCCCAAAATAAAAATGCTAGCTAACAAACCTTGAAAGCTGAAATTCATGTTTGAGATACAGTATGTTCCCCAAGAAGATGCACATAAGAAAAAAATAATGATGATTCTAATTCGAATGGAAGTAAAATCAATATGCATAGTCTCTCTCTCTCTCTCTCTCTCCCTTTCTTCTTTTGAGAAGATATACACAATGAAAATCTTCAAAGCATACAAATTTGTAAACTTAGCAGGCTGAGAATGATATATCAAGTGGTAAAAAAATGACCATCATTTAAGCTCACAAAAATGAGTGCCTCAAATCAGAACAAAATGGAGGAACTAAATATAACCGACTTGAGTAAAGTCTTCATTAATAACATACAACCCTCATCTCTAAATCTATCATTATTGACAATGTACCTATAGAATCAAACTTCAATTCACATTAGACCTAATTTAACACTGCAGATAGGAAGGTGGAAAATGTAAAGGATCAAACCAATCTTCGTATATTTCAGACACCGTATTTAGCCAACAAGCATCAAACAAACCAGTTAGTAGCAAATGGCCACTGCAAATGAAATTTCAAGCTTGCCTTAAGAAACTCCATGAGTCTCTTTGTTTCACTTTTCTATTATATATTTACTTCATTTTATTTCATTGTTTGTTTGTTTGTTTTTCATTTTATTTCATTGTTTGTTTTTTTCTTTGAAGGAAATAGCCAATTGCAATGCTCAAACCATACATACAAAGTAGGTTTAAATTAGTTGTAAAACACGATTTAGGATCATAAAAACTCCCTAATCTCATACTATCCTCCATTAGCCGCATCCGCCACACCGAAAACAAGTTTGGAGCTATAATTAGTTGAATTGAGCACAAATTACCAAACTTGATAACAAATGTACTACCAAAACTCATCTCTTAATACATCATTGACAAAACCCCACTCGAATCGACTGAAATTTCATCTCTCGTAATACATACATAGGAAAAACACAATTTAATGATAATTAACCAAAATCAACAACCACTATTATACAAGATAATTTTCTAGATTAAAATACTTTTGAGCTCATTTATTAGCAAAGATCAAATTAAATATAAACCTAAATTATCTTCCTCCACAAGCATTGATTTTTAGCACAGATAAATCTTAATAAACCATAAACTAAGCGAAATAAATCAGGAAAAAAACTAAAATCTAAGAAATGTCCTGACCGATCATTTTTTCGATGAGCTTGAGCTCATCTTGAGCTTCTTCAATAAGCTCTTCGACCTGACCACATCCAATCCGTTCCTCAATCTTCTCCCAGTCTTCTTCTTCTTCACAAACTTTAAGTCTATGTGTTGTAAAGCTCTCCACTGCTTTACGGTATCCTTCATCTTCCGGTACTGCTTTGATCTCTTTTAGGGTTTTGTTGTATAGATTGATCAACACTTCTCTCGCATTCGGGGCCACATCCAATCCAACGATCCCTGTGGTTTGCTTCACCTTCGCCAGTAATGGCCGTCCGATTGCCCGCAGGAACATCGCCGATTGTCACACTGGATCACGACTGCTTTTCTTCTCTCTCTCAGTGTTGTGTTCTCTTTCGGGTTTTGGAGAGAAACGAGGAACTGTTTTGAGTTGTCATCGAGTACGGTTGGATAGAAGAAGTGAGAGAGAGAGAGAGTAGATCTTGACCGTCAATTGGAGAGTAAATCTGTGGGTCCTGGACTCTTAAGATCAAATAGTGTGGGCCATCTGTTAAGATTAGCCCACAGTGGTGCATGTAAGATTTTGGCCCAATCAAACTAGTTTCCATCTTTTATCATTAATATACATAACAGCATCAAATTCATTAAATTTGGGATAAGTTTTAAATTATTTTAAATATTAATTTCATAAAATTCAGGCGAAAAATCAACCCAGCTGACAAATCAACTCTAATAATTTTTTTAAAAAAAATTATTCAAAATAATATTATTTTGAATTAATTTAGAAGTAATACAGTAACTAACAAATTAACTTGAAGATCTAGTGGTTTTGAAATGGTATAATATATTTATATATTAATACGAAAACTAACAAAATAACTTGAAGATCCAGTCGTTTTGAAATGGTATAATATATTTATATATTTAAATGATAAAATATTTTGTTTGGAAAATAATTGCATGGTCATAAAAGATAAATTTTCCATAATCTTAAAGTGGCTCTAAGAGAGCTTGATCACAATCTTTTTAATGGGTGAGCAGTTTTCTCAATTAAAATAGATGGTAAGAAAATAATTTGTTTTATGATAATTATCTTCTTCTTTTTTAGTAAGGAATAATTATCATTTCTAAATCCATGGTAATTATAATTATTAATAAAAAAAGAAGAAGCAAGAGATAACAAAGCTATCTTTCTGTTAGGGTGAATTTTCTTTTTTATGTTTTCACCATTCATCATGACTTCTTCTTGGTATGCAAGAACATAATTTTAAAGAGAAGACCTAGTGTATTTTATAGACCAGAATGGTAAATCATGATTATTATTTTTTTTTAAATATCAAAATAGTATTATATAAAAAAATAAAAATAAAAGTTAAAGAATTTTACTTAAACTATAAGTCAAACTAGATTTCTGACTATGTTAGGTCAAGTTAATTATTTCTTTATTTATTTTCAATCAAAATTTATCTGTATCTCAGATTAGTTAAATCTAGACATTATAATTAAATATAATAATAAATGAATAATTATGATAAGTCATGAGAAATTAAAAAAAATTATACTATTATTGAAATTATTAATATATATATATATATATATATAAATTTTATCTTAAAATATTACCTAACAATTTAAATTTTTGAATTAAAATGTTTATCGGACATGAATATCTTTCAAAAATTACTTTTTCAAAAAGTCTAAGTTTTTTTCTTTTAAATGAGTGGATCCCATCATTGGATATCACAAATTCTAAAGGTGAATTTTTCTCTCAATAAAATTACCATTATTCACAAAATACAAATACACCCAAGTTCTTTCCTTGATTTGAGACTCGTGTGCTAAGAAGACATGAGAATTAAATATATTTGTGTTCCAAAAAGAATTAGGTGGAACAACTTTAAAATAAAAAGAAAGAATGAAGTAGTTGGCCTCAATTTCACATTCTAAACTAGAAAAAAAAAAAAAGAGGAAAAAACCAGGAATAAGTGCAATATTACACATTAAAAATGAGGGTGGGGGTGGGGGGGATTTTGACAAAGTCTCGTGCCAAGCCATGCCATGGAAGGAGTGACACATGCCATGTAAGGTTGTGCTATAAGAAGCTAGATTGATAATAATAATAATAATAATAATAATTAAAAATAAATAAATAAATAGCCAAAAAAAAAAATTAAAGAGTTTCATATGTCACCGCCAAAAAAAATTAAAGAGTTTCATATGTCACACCAAACTAGATCGTATTGTTTAGAATCCTATTATGATCACAAATTATGCACAACAAGTCTTGAAATCAATTAATGTTCATAAATTATAATAAGAAAGTCTCCATTTCAATTGTGGACTTATTTATAATAAGAAAATGGCTTAGGAGAAGTCAGTTTAAATAATAAAAAGACAAATTATTTAGCTTCAAAATTTTATGTTCAAATTTTGTAATTGATTGCTTAAAGAGATGATATATTTACATCATATTAGCCTTGTTCACGATAATAATTATACTTTTTAAATTCAACTTGAGAATTGATTTAAGATAAATTCTGGGTTATGGGTTAAATTAATTTAATTTTTTATTTTATATAAAAACAAAAATGATATCATTTAAAAAAATTTAAGAAAAAGGTCAATAAATTTTGCTTGGGTTTTTCTTTTTCTAGGTTACACTGAATTAATTATTCCCTAATTTTTATTAAAACTCAACCCAATCTAAATTTTAAGTCAATAGTTAACCTGTTGAGTCAATTCTAATGATAAAATATTGGGTCAGTAAATGTTTCACCATGCATGTATAGGTTTATATATACACTTAGTCAGAGATAAATATATTGTTTTTTATTAGCTTTATATTGTATATTTTATATATTTTTAAGCAAGAGATTTTTTCTACTTGCTTTGTGTTAACAAGCAATTTTCTCTCTCTCTCTCTCTAATATATAACCTTATGTTAATAGATATAAATCTTGATTGAACTAAAATTTTACTAAAATATTTCAAAAATTATGTTTTTTTTTATAAAGTTAAAATTTCATAGTTATCTTAAATTGGAAGGTCTCTAAATATGCTCCAAAATGTACTCTAATTTATCATATTTCTCCTAGTTAATTTTAATTTTTTTAATAATTTTTGTTATTATATTTTTACTTTATTTAATTTTTTATTTCATATATAAGTAACCTAAAAGAACTCTAATATTTAGTTTTAATTAGAGAAAAACTTGAATAATAAAAATATAAATTAGAATTTTTATATGATGATTTTTTTGAGAAAATTTTTATTTTTGTGCTTAGTGTTTTTTTTTTTCCATCTCGTAAATGTTTTTATAAGAAAAAAATTATAAAATGACCTTTTCAATCCAGCCGCAATCACATTTTTTCCAATAAAATATCGCACTTAGTTTACGTGCCAGGAAGAACAGCTTGCATTATTATTTAAAATCATGAGAATCTTGAACTACCTCATTGATGATGTTACGGGTTGACCATATATATATATATATAGAGCAAAGTTAGATTCCTAGATTTATTTCTCGTTCATTGAAAAAAAGATTTCGCAAAATAAAAGTAGAAATTAAACAAATGAGGAAGAAGATATGTTTGACCTACTCTTTATGTCCAAGAATATAAAAGATTTGACCTTGAACCTCGTCTTCAACAGGCATGAAAAGGGTTCCCGTGTCTGTCTCGTGATAAAGGGTGCTCAGAGACTGGGTCTTTGTCACGGTTTGTGTAATCTTCCATGCTTTTGAGCCAGCAACTTCATGCACCCACTCGCCTCTCTTCATTTTTGCTTTATCGATATTTACATTATATTTTCGTGGTTAGAATTTATGAATCTCACGCTGGAAAGCTTTTTATTTATTTATTTATTCAGAGAATGAGGTATTTTTTACTATGATTTTATACTAAAGTTTCAAATGCCATATTTACTTTTAAGTTTTTTGAGAATAAAAATCCACAATAAAGGGTGGGTTTCAAGAATTTTCAGAATTTGGCACCTATCAAAGAGCAATGAAGCATAGATGTATGGGTAAATGAAAAACTCCAATACCTAAAAGCTTGATATCTCTCTCAGTGTATTAATTAATGTCTTCATTAATCAATTTTCAAATAAGTTATCGTCGAGGATATAACATTAAATCGGCACATGACCCAGTTAAAAACTAATGGTTATAACTTTATTGAGTTAACTTGAATTAATTATAAAATTATATTATTATTTTTTTAAAAAAAATCTACATGTAACTTATTTAAGTTTTGATCAAGCTGATTGAATTATAAGTGAACTCATTAGAACCATTTGAATTTAATTAGATTAATTTCAAGAGCCAGTTTAAACTAAGAGTCATTTAGATAATGATTGAAGACTTCCTCTCAACAAAATATCTTAAGAATAAATAAGATGTATTTTGTAATTATACTTTATAAAATAAAAATGGAATCCACTTAATAAAAGACTCCAGGTACAAAATAAAGATTATTCAAGACCTTACTTATTAGATATATATAAAAAAATAAAAAGATATTTCTTAAATATTTTAAAAGACTACATTTATAGTTTTGTATAAGATCCATATTCATCTTAAATAGCCTATACTAACTTCTAATCTAATATAGTTAAACATAACCTAAATGGTGTTAAGCTGAGTTTTATAACAATAGTTATTTATATTGATTTTCTTTTTATAACTTTTCATTAAACTTGAATTAAAAACAATAACAAATATACCGTTAACTTAAGTAAATAACTTGCATAACTTATAAAATGTATGATTTTAAGATTCCATCAAACATTAATAGGTATTTTCTAAAAATACAAGATGAATTATAGTCAAATCCAAGATAGTATAACATGGTATAATCATTCTCAAACTATAAAATATTTTTTTGATGCCGGCTAAAAAAAAAAAAAACTTGCACCCTATAGTTGAAAAAAAAAACCCTTAGAGCCAATATATACCTTAAGAATTAGAGCAATAATAAACTATGTTGTGGGAAATTATTGAATCTTTTTTGCACATAGAATACTTGTTTATAGCTGTTAATTTGAACAGTAAATTCCACTAATTGCATGATCACAAAAGCAGAATTGCCCTAAATTTCGAGTGGATGTGAGGGAGCTTCATATGCGCAGTCACCATCTTTTCAATGGATGAGCAATTCGTTTTCAATTAAAAGGGATGATCATAAAATGTCCTAAATTTCGAGTGGATGTGAGGGAGTTTCATATGCGCAGTCACCATTTTTTCAATGGATGAGCAATTCATTTTCAATTAAAAGGGATGATCATAAAATAATTACTTGTATGATAATTATTTTTTTTGGTGTAGAATAATTATCATTACTAGCTCGATTGTAATAATTATTATCATTAATCAAACAGTAAAATGCAACATTAAGGCCATCTTTTTTGTTAGGGTTAATCATCATTTGTTAGGGTTTCACCATCCATCCAACATGACTT